GGTAATGATATATAAATATATGTATGTATATATATATATATATATATAAACTCAATACCATATAGGCAAGTCCTACTGGATTTTATTATCAAAACTCGGTATAAAACAGACATGTTTCGGCAAATCCTTCGCCATCTTCAGTGAAACGATTGCTAACATGCAATCTACTTTCACAGAAAAGCATATTCCAATATCCGTTATTTTAAGTTGCGTTACACTGGCCAATTTTCTAAAGTTATTTCACATAAGATAAATGCATTAACGAAACAGTTTTTCTGTGAAAGCAGATTGCATGTTAGCATGTAAGGTATGATGCTTGCTTTGATAGCAAGAGTTTGCAGGTTCGAATCCCGCAAGACACATTTTTGTATGAAAAAAAAAGGAAATTTTCGTTAATGAGCTTGATACGACTTGTTCCTATTCGAGCACTGTTATTATCATTTACCTATTTTTCGTTTTTTTAATAACGTTTCGCGCCAATAAACAGCCACCGACAAACAGCAGAGGGATTCACGTCGACTGACAGTCGTACGACCGTCAGTCGTACGACCGTCAGTCGTACGACCATCGTACGACGTAATGCGTGCTGGGCTCTAGGATCCTGATCATCTATAACTTATTTTACCTCTGTTAATGCTGAACGCAAGAGGCATTCGAATGATTCAAACCATTAAGACTAATGATACTAATGATACTAATTTGTCTCACTTGCTTGTCGATGAAACAGAATATATATTTAAGCAATGACAAACTTTCCGTTCATTCATTTTAGTTGAACAGCAATCAACTCGCCAATTATTTGACACAATAAATCAAAGGCATGCTTGAAAGGTTTAGTGAGTTGGTAGTTATTCATAAGAAACAAACCCCGATACTTACACAGATTAGGACCGTGTAATAAAGAATACAAGATTATATTATTAAGAGCAAATTAAGAACTCCTTACTAATATAGTGCAACGGGGGTTGTAATTACCGTTTAAAGTTTTGTAAAAAAACACCAAGGAGTTGTTATATTTTAATTGAATTGCTATACACCGTCGCTAAGTGTTTTTCGCTGCTATCATTGCGCACTGCGTAGCTGTCCCCGACGCAATCGGGAACGCTCTCTGATTCAACTACTGACCCGTTAACCATTAACTGACCAAATGAGACAGTGATAGCGTGTAGCGATTTTTTTTTTGAATGGAAACCAGACCTTAAGTTTTTGTTATGTCGCCAGAAATAGAATATTCCTCATTTCAACACGCAAGCATTAGAATGCATCCCGACCGTGACTCGGACAGAGAGACCTCCTGTCTTTAAAGCATCAGACGTCTTAAACAAGAAAATCACTGGGGCTTTTCTTTAGACCTAATACTCGATTACAGGCAACTGATTTTACAGCGTTTTCTACTGCATAATCGCGTAAAAAGCTATACAGTCATGCAGTTCTGAAAACACTTAATCGAAAATCAATATGCTTAGTTCGTGTTATTATTCCATTCGTTTTGCAGATGTATGGCGCTATAAAAATATTAATAGCATTAAAAGCATGCCGAAGCAAAGGCTTATAGCAGCTAATATTTTATATTTTAATATATTGATTATATAAAGAGGTAAACTCTCAACAATGTGTGTATATGACCGTATATTTATATATACATATATGATATAATTGCTAGTGACAATTTATTTTAAATAAATTAAGTATACTTGTTCGATGAACAGCCTTTGTCAAGGTTGTTAGTATAGAAAACGTCCACTTATCCTGTATCCTGTAACTTAAAACACTAATGTAAATATAAATATATATATATATATAAATATATATATATATAGGCCTATATATAATAAATTCAGATCAAATTCAAATTCAGTTGTCCAATTATTATTATTATTATTATTATTATTAATATTATTATTATTATTATTATTATTATTATTATTATTGGTGTCGTTGCTGAGGTTTTGTTGATGTCATTGTTGATATTGTAAATAGCAATCTATGCAAAAAAAATATCGTTGCCGTAGTAAGTAAAAGCATTAATAGTTTAATTACCCTATAATGTACAAAACAGGTCATTGAATACAATATACTATACATTAATAACCTAGAACGCATAAATATTTTATGAGTTTTCATCCAAAATTAAGTAACATTTTTCTACCTTTTCAAGGTTATCTAAACCAACAATCATTGTTGGGGTTTTTTTCAGAAATTTTATTATGCTCTTCTTCAGAGGTTCAATGTCAGTACGTTGGTACTTGGTAAGTAAGTTGTTGAACACGATTGAATAGGTATAAATTATACCAATAATGTAATCCTAATAATATTTTAAAGAAGCACGAAAACTAAAGCTTGGCGCATATATATTATGTCGGCGCCATCAGCAGGCGCATGGTATGAGATCACGACGCGTTATGGTAGATCGCATTCATTGACGATGCGCTCAGATCTCAGATGGCCGCCTGTGTGCTTGCACTTATTCTACCTATTATTTGGCCTACCGGTATAATTATTTAGGCCTACCTATTTATTATTATTATTAGGCCTAATAATTTATTATTAGAATTAATAATCCTATTATTATCATTTTTGAAATGAAAAATATATATATATACTGTAAATACTATAGTTTCTTGTCTCCGCGAAGTTAAAAAATAAAATCGTTGTATTATAACCGTTGCATTATAACAAAAACCCTCAGAGTTAATGCATGATAAAATGGGTTAATTTGTATAATATGTCGGTCTCCTAGTTGTTGAGAAAAATAACAAAATTAAATTTGAATTTAGACCTAATCGAACCGACCAGAAAATCGAATCAGTGTGTAAGAATAGTTGGCGTTCACCGCATCGGGAACGCGGTCCGGAATTTCGATTCGGATTTGATGATGTGAATACAGTAAAGGATTTTAATAACTGCATGTATAGTAAATGGGATTGCACGCTTGCTTGCTACTGTGCTATAGAACACAGACTAAAACCTCAACGCATATAAGGCCAAGTAAAACAAAAAAATAATTTCTCGTCTTAATATTTAAAGAAAATAAAAGGAGAATGAGAGCACTTTTTTTTTTTACTCCGAGATTGCAAAAATCCAAGATGGTCGATGGGAAACATACTACTTTCTCACTTTTATCAAGTAGACGCATTGAAAGCAAATAAAAGAAGCACTAGACATGATTCATACCATAATATGTATCCCCAACCACAAACGATCGAGAGAGAATTTTGCTGATGTGAGTTAGCCAGATTTTCGTACATTTCGTAAATTAAAATAAGTTTAAAAATATAAAATAAATAAATTGGTGGGGCTTAAAAAAACGGATGCGGAAAAGGACGAGAAACTAGTATTTTTTTTAATTTGGCCTTATAATTGGAGAATCTATAAAATTCTGACCATTATAATCACTTTCATTTTTTTTTTACAATGTAGTCGAGACAGTATAAAATGAATGGTAGTGTTATCATAGAAACGGTACCTACTCTTCGTTGTGTTTTAATGATTAATTTATGAAGAAATGTATTGTGTGGAGTTGTTCAGTAAATATGCCCTACTTTTAATTAGTTTAATAAAGGTGATTGAAAATACTGTACTTTTAAAGACGATAATAATTGTCTAAAAATACAGTATTCCTTAAAACAACGGAATAAAAAGCAGAAAGGGACATAAATGAGGAGGCAATAATTAAATATAAACATGATTAGCCTTAGTTGAGTAGATTATTGTCTTGAAATTCATGTTTTTAAATTATAAATACTGTATGACATGCATAACAAGAGAAATGATTTATAAGACGTCAAAAATATAATAGAGAATTATTATAATAATAATAATTATTATTATTAATATTATTATTACTGTTATTGCAATCATGATCATGTTGTAATTAACATCATCATTATCAATTACAATTATTATTATTATTATTATTATTATTATTATTATTATTATCATTATACGTGTGAATGTATTATTTTGCTATATAGTTATTATTTCTGTTTAGGCCTATTTATTTTTGAGCGAATCTTTACAAATGTATTTCGACATACAATACATTTTAAAAATGACAAATAGATTGTACTGAATACCGTATACTGAATACTGCATTATTGTTAATAATACAGGGTTCCCTCTAAATAAAGACCCTGAAATTTGAGACGACCTCCGATTAAAGACCACTTTCCTGTGGTCCCAAATAAACAAACGTCTTTTATCTTTATTGTTCTAATTAGAGATCAAAGCTGCTAAAGATCATGAGAACCTTGGTCCTAAACGTGGTTTTAATTATTGAAGAGAGACCTGCAGTATAATCATTACTATATTTATTGATGTTCAGTGATATAACTATTATTGCTATAGTCTATATTTACAGTGTATGTATTACTGTTGTTATTATTATTATCATTATGATAATAAATATTAGTATTGTTTTGATGAATAATAATGTTAATGAGTCATAATACAAATTAGTGTTAAAAATTCAAAAATCAAGATTCAAGAACGTCCATTGGGCCGTTTATTGATTCACATTGTTATCTTTTATTTTGTTTTCTCATAAGCGTTGTCCTTATGAAACATTAAATTGATTAATCTGTTGGTGAAATTCATGCCACCTGGCTTCAACGGCTTCGTCAGCCTCATCAGAACGGCTGATCAAGTAAACTTACCGCATCTTGTCCATGTCTTCTGCGGATAGCAGGAGAGCGAGTTGCCGACTTGAGAATCGTGACGTCACATGAACTATGCACCGTGAGTCTATAATAAGCTCGGACGTGAGTATCAGTGCCAGACCGTTCAAGTGCAGCACCGAGGATGAAACTTACTTCTCTCTGCAGATGTTTTTGTGAAACACCATAAACAGATAAGCGGGTGTAAAAATCCTAAGTATTAGAAATATCTGTCGTACGGTATCTGCTCCGTTCTACGTCGCTCGCTATGCTGACGTACGCCCATGCCAAGGATTAGTAGGAATTCGGTAGCAAGCATTTGCATTGGAAACGATTCGGTTCTTTAGGTGAGTTTTGCTAAACTAACAAGTACAATGGCGTATAATGAAGAGTGTTTTAATGTTACCGAAGAGGAACTGAGCGTTCTCGTGTATTCTAGTGCCGAGACCGTATTTCTGTCTGTTGTTTTTCCCACGCTTTTACTCGTTGGACTTGTCAGCAATTTAGCGTTCATATACGTGGTTATTCACGTTGCCTATATGCGAACAATCACTAACTATTATTTAGTATCATTAAGCGTGTCTGATATCTTATTCCTTTTATTTACTGTTGGTGACAAGGTATCTTGTTATTTGATGTCACCACATGCTAAAGTAGGGAGTTTGTACGGCAGGTTTGGCTGCGCCTTCTTTGCTTTCAGTTTTAATATGACGTATTTTGCATCGATCGGATTTGTCACATTAGTTTCAGTGGAACGTTATAGCGCCGTGTGTCGTCCGACGAAGGTCTTTAGCGGAAAGGTGACCGCTAAACAGCGCGCGCGAAACTATATTCTGATAAACATGGTGGTGTCCGTGTTACTAGCGTTAACGTTTGTACCAAGTAGTTTTACATATTTAGAATTATGCTTTTACTTGCCTAAAGGTGACAACGATATGGCTCTTACAGCTGGCATGTGTCACTCAGTTCATCAAAGCGTCAGTATTTATTCGTACTGTGTTCAAACTTGGCCATTTTTTGCGGCATTCATATTCAACGTCTTCCTTTACGCCAGAATATTGAGGGAGTTAAAGATCAGGGAACGAAACATCGAACGCAGTGACAGCGCGCTCGTTGACAGCACCAAACGACGGAACCAAATCACAATTATGTTGATTGTTAACGGAATATTATTCTTTGTGTTATTGGCGCCTTTTGAAATCATGTCTATTTTTTGGATGTTTGTGAGCATTTTAAAACCTGGCCAGATGAATGTTTCTCATGAACTGACAACTAGATTTATTGGTGATACAGCCCGTTCATTATCTTACTTGAATTCTGCCACAAATGTTCTTGTTTACACTGCACTTAGCCCCCGGTACACCAAGGCCTTCTCGGATACATATTGTTCACTGTGTCGCGGATGGAACTGTCCGTCGCGTGGAAGTTACCAGAGAGCCAGCGAAGAAATGAACACTAACGAAACACGGACAACGGCTAATTTGTAAACCGTAAACTTCGAGTGAACGTACGGATCGTATTCTAATACTTTCCAAATAACAAGCTAATAACAGGACACTGCATGATAAAATCCTGTTGTTGCATAAATTACAACTTTTAACGACAGAAAAACAGCTTTTAAGTAGAAAGTGAAAAATTTAAAGATGTTTTGTTCCATAGAAGATCACAAAAATAATCATAAAAAATCATTTTAATGAATTTGCTAATTTTGAAGTAATATAACATATGTATGTTATATTTTTAAAAATTATCAACTTGAACATAGAAATTAGTGTAATAATAAAATATTTACCCATAAATTTACAGCGAAAATTGATTAATAAAAGCATTTCCAGTCACATGGAAGTATATTAATTTTAGAATAATACCGTATACAAATCAGTGTACACATTGATTTAATTCAATAATAGATTGATAAACAGATTATTAATAGATTGTTTAATAGATTGATTAAATCAATAATAATTCAATAGGTTAATAATGTGTATGTTACTGCAACATGAGCAGGTAATTTTAAAATTATTTATTATGATTTTTATATAATTTTTTGGGGACATTACATCTTTAAAAAGGTAAGAATTTAAATGGTGCCTTGACGCCAGAAAAACATGTATTTGTCAGTTTCTTCTACTACCATTCGCTTCAAATTTATTCATTGCACTATTTTCTGTTTCTTGGTTTTTGCCAAGATGCCTTGATATCTTAATATATATATACACACACATACATTTAGGCCTATATATATATATAGGTATATATATATATATATATATATGTATAGGTATATATATATGTATATCTGTATATGTATATGTATATGCAGAAGTGAATTTGGCTTCTGTATTAAATGCTGTCTACATTTCCAAGGTACATCTGACAAATACCTGTGACTTACCCATATAAAGGTGGTGGATCTGGGGGTGGAATGGGTCCCGGTGACGGTTGATTTTATTTTGTAAATATAAGTATATACTATATATATAAAGATATATATATATATTTCATTCATTTGCATTCGCCACGAAGTCAAATTGGTATATTGGTTAAAATGCGTACGGTATTAACTCACCTTTCCAGTTAGAAAATCAATTTAATCTACACAGATATCGTAGGAGCGATCAATATAGTATTTTCATCTTCCGAATCATCTCAACTATATATACTTGCATTATGTATAGCATATTAATCAAAATACGACATTTTCAGAAATAATCTGAAGATATAAGAAAGAAAAGAGGACAAACACGTTAATTTGTTTGTATTTTATACTAATTGGAAAATTTTGATCATATCAGACACATGCCTATTTGATCAAAGATGTGATGTGCCATGATGAGGTAAAAAGGCGGGAATACATTATCATATTTGTCTATCAGACTTAACAGACAATACACCAGACTACTGTATCCACTTGTTGGAAAAACACTATAATTTGTTTGCCTTTTATGTGGAAAATTGTTGATCAGATTTGTTTCAGACTCATTTGTTCAAACATACATGGCTTTCGGATGTTGAGGGTAAAAGGCGGGAATACATTATCATATTCTTCTGTCAGACTTAACAAACAATATACCAAATTGTTGCGTATCTTGTTGGACAAGATGTATTCTATGCTCACTGGTAAGTGTTTGATCGGATTTGCTTCAGTCGTATTTGATCAAACATTTCATATGTTTCTCAGATACGAATACGATATACCAGACTATTACATCTTGTGCCAGACATGTCTGACCAAACATATCCCATGCTTATCTATTTATTTATTTATTTTTGTTCATGTCTTTTGGATATCGAATAACGATCTACTATACTTCATTATACAGAGTCTGCGGCCAAACACACCTCATTGCGTATGACAATGGTATGACCGACTTAACGGGCAACAGTACAGCAACGCTTGCAGTCTTCAATTCCTCATCCGATTTTTGATTAATATCGGTAGCTGTCTCTTGCTGTAAAACCAACTAATATAGATTTAATTGTATGACATATATAGAAATTAATGCATTTCGCAGTCGAAGGTAGACGCAAGTTAAACTGCATTCACATCAGATTCGGACCGCGTTCCGATCATGTACTGAACGCCAGCGTTCCTATTCTTACACACTGGTTCGATTTTGTAATCGGTTCGGTAGGCCTTCCGATCCGAGAATTCGGATTCGGTGTGGTTGTACATTTAGGTCTAAATGGTACAAAATGTATGTCAGGGCACATTTTTCTATTAATAGGTCAGATATTTCAAAGTGTTTAATGAGTGCATACTTGTTATTTTGTTTTCATTGATTCGTTTGAGTTGCTATTTAAAAAATGTAGACAATGTACTTTAATCCTATCTATTTTTATAGCTGATTTATGAAATATTCATCCGAAGTGGTGATTTATGATGTTGATCGCAGCTTAAGCATTGCGTTTGATAAATTGTTTGACATTGAAATTAAAGAAGCGCTCTTCATAGCTAAGTACACAATATCCCATGATGCAATACTGGTAGTGAATGGTTTTTTTTTTTTTTTTTTTTTTTTAATATACAATACTGTACTCTAGCGGATGTGTTCTTTTTCCACAATCGTTACAATACAGAATGCAAAATATGGACGCCACAAGCGTTCGCATCGATTTTTGCTATTCTGGATCGCGAGATTTCTACCTTAATTACTCTTGTAAATATTACCGGATGAATGTTCGTTTTAGCATTGAAAATGAAATTGCTCTAATTGTAGGCTTATTCAAGTGGATAGAATGTATCCAGTTTAATGACCTTGAAATAAGAAAGATGAAAACTTTCCCTGGTTAAATTAGCCTTGAAAATACTGAGTAATAGTTCAATTTGAGTATCAACTAAAATGCTCACAAAGAGCACCCCTGAGTGACCTGATGTATTGTTGGATGTGTTGTCCCATTATATTGAAACTGTACATTCATTATTCTGATTGGGGTTGTAAATGAAGAGTCGAGGGAAACGCTAACATTATATATAATCAATCATGTGATTGGCCAGCCCGTGCGACGCGTAACCAATGCATTCTCAGGCGCTATTAGCTATCTCAGCTGTAATAGTAAACCTAACTCAGGAACTTTAAAAAAGGAAGTCTTATTTACTGTAAATATTTCCAATATTTAAAATAAAACCGTTTTCAATGTTTCTAAAAATCCATTTTATAAAATAACAATAACTATTATTTATTATTATTATTATTATTATTATTATTATTATTATTATTATTTTTGTTGTTGTTATTTATATTATTATATTATTATTATTGTTTATAATATTAACATTATTATTATTATTATTATTATTATTATTATTATTATTATTATCATTATTATTATTATTATTATTATTATTATTATTATTATTATTATTATTATTTCTGGTAGTTGCAAGTAGTAATAGATAGGCCTAATATTGAATAGGCTTAATAATATTACTACTAAACTTAATACTTGTTATGATTGAATACCAGGAACAACAATAATACTAATATCATAGTAGCAATAGAACAATCTCAATCTATGCCAAACGTAAAAGTACACGACTGTATTATTATTATTATTATTATTATTATTATTATTATTATTATTATTACTATTATTATTATTATTATTATTATTATTATTATTATTATTATTATTGTTATTATTATTATTATTATTATTATTATCATCGTCATCATCATCATCATCATCATCATCATCATCATCATCATTATTATCATCATTATTATTAATATTATTAAAATAGTCTCAACACATCCCTGCTCTTTTCAGAACAGAGCTTTTGACTGCACAGTACACGGTGTACCGCAAATCTATTATACAGCACTATTGTTTATCCGCCGTACGAATCTTTAAACAACATTAACAACAGCAATAATATTAACAAAACAAAAGCAATAATATATACAATATGCATAATAATCAGTGCCAAAATGATTGAGTAAAAAAATAGACCTATATGAACGTGACCGACTTGCTTGTGTGTTTTGTTTTTTTTGCCAGATACAAAGGTAAACGAATTACAATAGACCTTATGTTCATTTTCACCGTACATATTGATATATTACTGGGATCTAGGATTAGACGTCAATGCACGAAGAAAGCTTATGGTCGCATCCTTTTAAGCCAAAGCCAGATCAAATAATTCCCCTATATGTCATTTTCTTGCTACAAAAATATCATCGATATGTTCCTGGAAAATAATTAAGCATCTTCTTATTAAAAGTGGGAAAAAACATTTAAAAAAATAGAAAATATATATTTTCTTTTTTGAAATCTGAAAAACCAAAAATCAATTTAAGCAATATTACTACTCATTCACAAATTTCAGATTAATAAGTTTTGAAGTCTTCATATCATGAGACAGATCGAAACGTCATAGTATTTTCAAATTTACACACAAATCCTTATTTACCAAACAATGTTAAGGATTTATTCAAAGAATTACATGATCAACTGTTCATTACTCAAAAACACAGCGGGACACACGCTATGTCGGCCGGCTGACATTCGTAGACGAATTGATTCTATGGGCACTTCGACGGGATAGTCTGAGCGAATTGCGCGCTTCTTCGCATTGCGTTCACCACATGGAGTCGCATCGGCCGACGACGACAGTTGACGCAGTGTGTGCCAATCGAAATATTGAACGTGTCACATTAATTAGCTGAATCCAGACTGTATTTCTATAAAAGGTAGCTTCAACGTGTTACAAACTTTATCCATGTCATCTTTTATTATCGTATTATCCTCCACAATATTTTTTTTGTTTTGTTTTTAAAGTAATTTGATTTAGTGTGAATATGTCAGTTGATATTTTATAATTTGAAAATTATAACGTCATTTATATGATCCTATTGTGCACCTTGGTCGTTAAAAGTATTACTGTAGCATTAATAAAACGTTAAAGCGAAGCGTAGATATGTTTATTTCATGCATTCTGTCATTATGTGAAGGCCGATTGTCAGCATCTGTAATCTCTAGCTGCCAATCGGATACTGTAGTAATCGAACTTCAATCCAATTTTGATTATGTTAGAGGTACCTGATTATTTATTATTATTATTATTATTATTATTATTATTATTATTATTATTATTATTATTATTATTATTATTGTTGTTATTATTATTGTTATTGTTATTATTGTTATTATTGTTATTATTGTTATTATTATTATTATTAATTATTATTATTAATTATTATTATTATTGTTGTAATTAATAGATGTAAGACACTCACAATGTCATAATTGGACTGGGCGGTAGTGTTTATTTGCAATGAAATCAGTTCTGCACTTGTAACAACTAATTAACAATGATGACGTCATCGCCTCATTATATCCACAAACGTATGTAGTTGACATGTGGTGGTAGCCTGATGAATAGGACGGATCAATTTACTCCAAATAATAATTAGTCATTCCACTCTGAAAAAAACGTCCTTACCGTCAGGCATGAAAAGTAACGGTCTAACCAAGTTAATTACAAGCAATTTGCAATTTAATTAATATTTTTTGATGATAACAAACTCTTCAATTACGATAATTAATGAAACAAGATCATCTGCAATATGACGTTGACAGAAAGTAATTTGAATTCCTTCTAAAAATATATAATTATTATTACTATTATATTGTTATGATATAAACATAGGGACAATGAATTTAGGGTAAATTCACACTGAATTCGGATTTTCGGATCGGAAGTCCTACTGGAC